ATACCGCTCAGCTAAATCCCCAGCCCGTACCTCATTTATTGAAATGACTGTTTAATACTCCATTGGATTTTTTTTCCTTTGGTACCGTGGACTGAACTCATGACCCTGTGTTTGCCAGGCAGGCACTTTTGCCACTGAGCTAAATCCCTGGCCCTCCACTGGATTTCTATCGCCTTTCTATTAGAGACCAATAAGATCATTTAAGAAATTCTTATATCAGCTCAAAATAGTATTTGTGTAATTTCTAAAGTGTGAAAGTCCTTTTTTTTGTTTTATTTGAGACAGGGTCTCACTATGAAGTTCAGGCTGGCCTTGAGCTCACTTTGGAGCCCAGGCTGGTCTTTTTTTTTTTTGTCTTTTTCATTTTTATCGGTACCAGGGATCGAACTCACGACCACCTGCTTGCAAGGCAGGTGCTTATGCTGCTGAGCTAAACCCCCAACCCTACCCCAGGCTGGTCTTGAACTTGCAAGGTTACTCCTGCCTCAACCTCCTGAGTGCTGCGATTACAGGAGTGCACCACCATACCAGGTTTAAAGTCCTTTTTTATTTATGGTAAAATACATATTATGGGCTGGGGATTTAGCTCAGTGGCATAGGCGCCTGCCTTGCAAGCTCGAAGTTGTGAGTTCAATCCCCGGTACCGCAAAATAAAATAAAATACATAATATAAAATTTACCATCTGAATTTCTTTAAAAAAATGAGATAGGTCTCAGAATGCAGTTCAGTTCAGGCTGGCCTTGAACTCATTATGTAGCCAGTGTTGAATGAAAACAGCGATCTTCCTGTTGTAGTCTTTCAAGTGCTGGGATTACAGGCACATGCCGAGCTTGCCCAGTGACTGTTTTCTATCATTTCACTTTGCCATTTAAATGTTACTTCTTCACCATTAAAAAAAAAAAAAAAAAAAAAAAAGTCAGGTGTGGTGGCTCTTGCCTGTAATCCCAGCACTCTGGAAGCTGAGGCAGGAGGATTGTTTCAGTTAGAGATCAGCCTGGGCTACAAAATGAGGTCAAGACCAGCCTGAACTGCATAGACCCTCAAAAAGACAAGACAAAACCAAACCAACAACAAAAAAACCCTAAACGGGGTGTGGTTGTACACACCTATAATCCTAGCACCTGAGAGACTGAGTCACAAGTATTGCAAATTCAAAGCCAATGTGGGTACAAATGAGTTCAAGTTCAGCCTGCACTACCTAGAAACATCCTGCCTCAAGAACAAGAGGAAAAAGTAAAAACTTTTATGGAACAGGAAATGTACAATAAGGGCTGGGAATTTAACTCAGCAGCATAAGCACCTGCCTTTCAGGTGTGCAGTTGTGAGTGCAATCCCCCGCACCAAAAAAAAAAAAAAAAAAAAAAGAAAAAGAAAATACTTTACTCACTTTTCAAAATTCCTTCCAACTGTATATATTCTCCTAGTTTTACAAACTCGCTAAAGTACAGTTGACTCAAAATATAAGTAACAAGCCAGGTGTGGTAGTGCAAATCTGTAATCCCAGCAGAGGCTGAGCCAGGAGGATTGATTAGTTCAGAGATCAGCCTGGGCTACAATACAATGTGAGCTCAAGGCCAGCCTGAACTGCACAGCAAGACTCTGTCTCAAAAAGACAAAATAAATAAATAAATGCAACATTAAAGATTTAGTTTGGAAAGTTGTATTAACTTAAGCCTCTCAGTTACAAACATTTATTATATAAAAGGAGGAGGGCACTGACTGAAGTATATTTTTTCATTCACAAAATCTTGGAAACTGAATACAGTATTTTTATATTTACTTAATAGACACATTCTTGGTGCTCGAGTTTAAAATCCAAATGACAACTCCATTTCCTGTATTTTACATTAATGCTTGTATATTTTTAGCTGCTGGTACATATCCAACGCAGCTTATTTCTAGAGATTGAGAAACACTGTAAAAACTAGCAAGGATGCAGAAAATCATCAGTTTGAACTAATCAAATAACAGAGCAGCTGTAACCTGCGCTTCACTATAAAGCCCTGTTGATAATAATAAACCAAAATACAGAGTTTGGATGCGATTGTCCACCAAGTCTGCATCAATACTCAGCCTGAGCATTTTACAATAGCCAATATTTACGCCCTCACGGTTAGGTGTTACGCAGCGTCATTATTTCGGCTCTAAAGGAGTTCGATGACCACAGTCGTGGTCCTGCCGCGCAGCCCTTCGGTGCGCGCGCTGACAGCCGCCCGGAGGTGCGCGTTCCACCAGGGTCGCCCAGGGACCCCGCAGAGCAGCGATCCGCGCGCGCCGGCGACACAAAGCGCGGCAGACCTGGGGCACGGATTCCCCGTGAGCTCCGCTCCAGCACGGACTGAAGTTTGAATACACTTTGATTTCTTCCCGAGTCTCACTTTCCAGAACGCGATCTCCTTTTCCCAATGAAACGGGGAAGCTGCGAGCGGAGAAAAACAAGCGCCCGCAGCGGCGAGGGGAGGCGGCAGAGGAGCCGTCCCGACCCCAGCCGGACCCCGCCGGCCGTTACGTAACCGCCACCCGCTACACCCCAGCGCCCGCTGCGCCCCGGCCGTCCTCCGCACTCCAGGCCGACGGGCCGCGTCCCCGGCGGGTCCGGGCCGAGTTCGCATCCACTCCGCCCGGCTCGACCTCAGGGATCGCGGCGAGTGCTCGGCCGGACGCAGCTCCGTCGCCCGCCAACTCAGACGCCACAGGCAGCGGCGCCACTTTCGCGCCTGCCCGGCGTCCCGGCTTGCCCAGCTTCTCTCACCATAGTCTCGGCCGACTCTGCTTCAGCTCGGCCGGTTGATCGCCCGCTGTCGCCCCGCGCCGCCGCAGCCGCTCTCGCAGCAACGATAGCTGCGGCGGGAGCCGGACAATACCCCGGGCCCGCCTCGCGCTGCCGCGACCAATGGCTGCTCACCTTGCTCATTTGAACCACTGAGGCTGTCCAATCACGCGCCTTCTTCTAGCTAGAACTCCGCTCACCGGCACCTCCTCTCTAACGGCTGTTTGTTTTTGCACACGGCACGCGAAGGCGTGGTTTCTAGCCTTAGCACTGACGCGCTCTCCACTTCTCTTCACGCGCCGAGTCTGACGAACAAAACTGACCAATGGGAGCGGACAAGAGCCAATGAAAATGCCGCCCGCGAGCAACGGAGGTGGGACACCGGGAAGGACAGCAGGGCTAACCAATGGGATGGGGCGATTTCAGGCGGCTGCGGCTTTCCCGCCCAATGTCGGCGTTGGTGACTTGTTTGGGGTGGAAGCTGCAGTCCCGCGCGCTTCCACGAGCCGCTGCCCACAAAGACCCAGGTTGTCCTCATCGTGGCCGGGAGTCTCGTTCTGAGCCACCGGGTTTCGGGGTAGCTCGGAGCACGTGGCCAGCGCTGTCCTAAAGAATGGATATTCCCGAGGTCCTGCGGGCGAAACCCTGGCCAGAGCCCTCAGGGCCACCGTAGCTTTGTTTGCCTGGGGTCTGGAGGTTGGAGTTTGGGGAAAACTGAACTACAGCAGAAGTGACCCTCTCCAGCCGAGCCCACTGCTGGGCATGATGGCATTCGCCTGCCGTCTCAGCACTAGGGAGGCCAAGGCACGAGAATCTCGAGTTGATTCCATCTTGGGCAATTCAACGAGATAAGTAGGACAGCTCCCCTGTTCTTAGGTACTTGTCCTCGTTCAGACAGTCGGTGCTTTCACTGCACCTTGGGGGATTTTCCCAGCAGTTTTACCACCAGCCAGGCATTATCCAGCCCAAAGTTAGAATTCTCTTAGATATTTTTTTATTGTTGTTGTTTTGAGACAGGTTCTTACTAACGTAGTGCAGGCTGTCCTGGACTCACTGGGTAGCCCAGGCTGGTCTTGACTCACAGTGTTCCTTCTGTCTCAGCTTCCCTGGCGCTTGGAACTGCAGACCTGTGCACCAGACCCAGATAGGACATTTTTTAGTTTCAGACAGGATCTCCCTAAATTGCTGAATGCCCCAGCTTAAAACTTAAAATTCTTCCTCAACCTCCCTGAGTGCTGGGATTATAGACGCACACCTGGATGCCTCGCCTTTGTTTATTTATTGAGGAGAAGGGATCTTATATGTAGTCTGAGTTGCTCTCATTAAACTTGCTATCCATACAGTCCAGGCTGACCTAGGGATCCTCCTGCCTCAGCCTCCCAGAGTACAGGGATAAGAGGCATGTATCATCGTGACCCATTCTGTTTTGTCATTTGTGAAACTGAAAATATCAGTTCTGGTTTTGCTAGTGTTGAGTCAGCATTCTTTCAGTAATGAAGGGAAAAGTACTTACATAACACTTGAGGAATATCAACCTCTTCTGTCAACAGAAAAGTCATCTTGGCCTTTGCCTTTGGGTCATTAATTCAGATTTTGACTAAACTGCAGTTAGGTTAATGAGTTCTCCTCACAGATAAAGCTGAATCGGGCTGGAGATTTAGTTCAGCGGCATAAGCGCCTGCTTGCAAGCAGGCAGTCGTGAGTTCAATCCCCAGTACCGATAAAAAGGAAAAAGACAAAACAAAAAACCCTGAAAAACAGATAAGGCTGAATCTTGGAAGCAGTGTTTATCAACAATGAATGGATAAGGAACATATAGGGAAGGGCATGGAGGTGCACACCTGTAATCCCAGCATTTGAGAAGTTGAGGCAGGAGGATCGATGTGAATTCCAGGCCAGCCTAGGCTACATAGGGAAACCTTGTCTCAAAAAACAAGATTCTCATCCCACCTGCGGAGTCAGAAACTAGAGGCTCTGGGAACAGCTGGTGCAGGGTCTGCTGAGCAGGTGGTTCAGAGCCCACTGCAAGCCAGAGAGCAGACAAAGGAGGTCCCTGCTGTGTTGGCCCAAGAGATAGCCATTGGGGTGGGGCACACGTGTAATCCCAACATTTGGGAGGCTGAGGCAGGAGGACCACCGAGTTTAAGGCCAGCCTGGACTACATAGTGAGATTCTGTCAGAAAGATAAGAGAAGGGGGGGGGGGAAGAAAAGGGGAAGGGAAAGAGAAAAGCGCCTAGGAAAGAAGTTTGCCCAAAGCTGCTGCTTCGAGGTGCAAGGAGGAAGTGGTGAGAATCCAGGCGCGTCTGAGGGCCATGGATGGAAAGCCGGCGACACAGGCTTCAGCGGTGACACTGCAGGGTGCACAGGCTTCAGTGGCGACACTGTAGTGCGCACATGGAGGCCAGGGCGTGAGCAGCTCAGCCTCAGGTGCAGCTGCGCAGGTGAGAAATGGCGCTTGGTCCCTCATGGATAAGGAGGGCGTCACGGGAAGGTCTGATTGTACAGATCAAGCTGTTGACAAAAGCTTCAGCCAACCTTGCTGGCGCACCTGTAATCCCAGCACTCAGGAGGCTAAAGCAGGACAATTGCTGTGAGTTCGAAGCCAGCCAGAGTTACAAACCAGGACCTTGCCTTGGAGGGGGCAGGGAGGGCCAGGGAAGGGGAAGGGGAAGAAAAAGAAAACCTGCGGTTTTACCGAGCACACCTCTCTGTAATCCCCACACCCTGGGAGGTTGAGGCAGGAGAATCACAAGCACAAACCTAGTCTGGTTAGTGATTTACTGAGACTGAAAATTTTTTGGTACTAAGAATTGAACTCAGAGCTGGGCATGGTGGCTCATGCCTGTAATCCCAGCACTCGGCTTTGAGACAGGGTCTTGCTATGCAGTTCTGGCTGGTCCTGAGCTCACTTTGTAGCCCAGGCTAGACTTGAACTTGCAACGATCCTCCTACACATAACTGGTGTGTTTACTTCAACGTGAATGAAACTTGATTAATACTGCATATATATTTTAAAATTTTTGTTGCAAATTTTTAAAATAAAATCAAATAGTACAATAAAACCTGACATCCCAATATACAGCACCAATATACAGCTACAATAATCATCTTCATGGCCACATTTGCTTTATTTAATTTTGTTTTAAAGGGGCTCAAAACAAGGTCTCACTGGCCCTGAACTGTCTGTGTATCCCAGACTGGCCTCAAATTCATGGTTATCCCCCTGCCTTAGCCTTCCAAGTGCTGGGATTATGGGGATGCACAACCATGCTGGGTCTTGTAGTTTGTTTGTTTGTTTTTGGCACCAGGAGTCAAACTTAGGACCTTGCGCTTACCAGACTGGTGCTTATGCCACTGAGCTAAATCCCCAGCTGGGTCTTCTAGTTTTATATTGTATTCAGCTTTCTATTTGTCTCACCTCAAGTGAATTATTTTGAAATAAATCCGAAGTAAATATTTTTACTTGAAAATTATTTTCCTGGGGGAAGGGGTATAGCTCAGAGGTGGGATGCTTGCCAAGCATATGCAGGGCCCTGGCTGGGCCCCAGGCTTGTTTAGAAAGAAAAAGGAATATTAATTTCCTGCAGAAATCGTGGGTCATATTGAATTTGTACAGTGAGCATGTACAGCATACTTAATAAAGCAGAAAAGAGCAAACTAAGCCCAAGATAGAAGGAGAGAGTAAAGAAGTACTGGGCACACAGAAAAATAAGAACTAAAGAAACCAACAGTTGTTTCTTACAAATATCAACAAAGCTGGCAGATTTTTCACCAGACTGAGCAAGACAAAAAGATACTCAGTTTACAAAAATAAGAAATAAAAGAGGGAGATTGCTGTTGACCTCACAGAAACAAAAGGACTAGGGAATATTTGAACACTGTTACAGTGTGACAACAAATTAAATAACCTGGTGAAGTGAATGAATCCTAGGAAGATAGCAACTACCAAAACACTCAAGAAAAAAAAAAATTAAAAATCTGAACAGATCTATAATAAGCAATTAAATTAATTTTTAAAATTCTTCCTTGCCACAGATATAGCTCAGTGGCACAAGTACCTGCCCACCAAGCACAAGGTCATGATTTCAAACCTCGGTACCAAAAATAAATACATAAATACATAAAATCTTCCTATAAAAGGGGGGCAGGATAGCATATGCCTGTAATCCCAGCACTCTGGGAGGCCAAGGTATTGCAAATCCAAGCCCAGCCTGGAAAACATAGCACTTTAGTGAGACACTGTCTCAAAATCAGAAATAAAAACATGGCTTCACATGTAGCTCAGAGTGAAGGCCCAGGGTTCCATTCCCACTAACTATCAAAAAGAAAAACCAAATTCCAGCAAGGTTGGTTTGAGTTACGAAAATCAATCACCACAATGCTCCATGGTAATGAAATAAAAGACAAAGCACTTGGGCTGGGGATTTACCTCAGCAGCTCAAGCACCTACCTGGTAAGTGTGAGGTTGAGTTTGATCCCCCAGTACCAAAAAAAAGCACTTTATCATCCCAACACAGGCTGAAAAGTCACAAAATCCAATACTTTTTTGTTTTAAAACACTCAACAAGTAAGATTAAATTAGAAGGAACATTATTTAACCTGATAAAGGTCATCTATGAGATAAATTCACGGTCAATGTAAAATACTGTAGAAAGACTTAATGATTTCCTCTAAAATGCAGGAATAAGATGAGGATATCTATTTTTGTCACCACTTTTTTTTGTACTGGGAATTGAACTTACAACCTCACTCTTGCCAGGCAGGAACTTACAATGCTGAGCTAAACACACTTTTTTTTTTTTTGAGGTAAGACACCACTTAAACCGAAGGGTTGATAAATGCTAGAAAAGCAGATTTTTTTCAATGAAGCCACATACCTATTCTTTTCTTCCTCCTCTTCCTCCTCCCTCCTCCTCTCTCCTCCCCCTTCTCCTCTCCCTCCTCTTCCTCCTCCTCCTCCTATCTCCTTCGTTTGGTCTTTTTGAGGCAAGGTCTACTATGCAGTTGAGCCAGCCTTGAGCTCAACTGTGTTTCAAACTTGCATTCAGTCCTCCTGACTCAGCCTCCTGAGTGCTGGGATTATAGGCTGTAAGACCATGCCCACCTGTGCATACCTATTCTTTTTTTAAAATTTTTTTTTGTCTTTTTGGTTTTTTTATCGGTACCAGGGATTGAACTCAAACGACCACACACTTGCAAGGCAGCCGCTTATGCCGCTGAGCTAAATCCCCAGCCCCTCACATACCTATTCTTGCCAAGTTTTTTTTTGGGGGGGGTCAAGGTCTCACTATGTAGTCCAGGTTGGTCTTCAACTAATTATTATTATTATTATGGTACCAGGATCAAACTCACCACCTTGTGCTTGCCAGGTAGGCATTTGTGCTGCTGTGCTAAATCCCCAGCCCTAGTCTTCATCTAATTCTATAGCTCTGGCTACACAGTGATCCTCCTGCCTCAGCCTCCTGAGTGCTGGGATCACATATTTGCACTACTGCACATGGTAGCATAACCAATGTGTTTTGTTAAAGTAGTTGAGATGTTAACCATTGCTTTACTTTTCATATGGGTATAAGAAAAAATTGAAATGAGTGAAATTAAATATACATAGTAGTTGATTAAGTGACAAATGTTGCTTCACAGTGTGACTTGCAAATATACCTTCTGTATGAGTAAATCATTGTGTCTGGTAAAAGATTTTTTTTTTTGAGACAGGTTCTTATTATATAGTGCAGGCTGCCCTTGAATTCATCATGTAGCCCAGGCTGGCCTCAAACTCACAGTGACTCTCTTGCCTTAACCTCTCAAGTGGTAGGAGTATAGGCATACTCCATTATTCTCAGTTGTAATCTTATTTAAAATGATTACTAATTTTTTAAATAGCTACTGAATTTATACAGCAGCTTGAAGTCTGCTGGGTTTCCTGTGGTTGTCTGGTGATTTGTAAATGTCTACAGATATTTTGTGCAATTATATATAGAAATGGAAATTCAATATTCACTCAGGATTTGTTAGATACACTTTCTAAAACTCACTGTTGTCAAAGTGGTTTATTGCAAAATAAAAAAGCATTATGTAACAAATAATTATAGATTTCTACTATACAGTAAGTGATAAAATCACTGTAACAAGCATATTTAGAGTTCTGTCTGTACATAGTTATGGTTTAGATCTAGATGTTCCCCCAAAGCCTGATGGAGGGATCCTGGAAGGAGCTGGAATAGGATTTAGAGATGAGTAGGCCAGAATAGGTAGTCCCAAGAGGTGAGGTGTGGAAGGGTTTCCGTCACCCCATAGCTCCACCTTCTCTCTCTGCTTCCTGTTCTCCACGCAGTGAGCAGCGCTGGTCCTCAAGGCCATGCTGCCCCAGACCATGCAAGGACGGAAGCTGCTAGGACTTTAACCAGAATTAAACTCTCTTCCTTTAAGTGAGGGGCATAAGATTGAGTCCAGCAGATCCATTCCTTACTTTTCTGTTGTAAATTTGTACTTTAGCATGATGTTAGCCAGCTGTGTCTCAGCTGTGTCCCTGAGGCACACAGGAAGCAATCTATGTGTTTACCCACTTATTACGATAAACAGCAAGGAGCGTGCACATGTGCAGAAGTGGCAAAATAGGATTTGTACCCACCTTGTGCTCCATCTAACTGGTTTTTCTTTTTCTTTTTTCTTTTTTTTTTTTTTTTTGTCTTTTTTCCTTTTTATTGGTACCGGGGATCAAACTCACAACTGCCTGCTTGAAAGGCAGGCACTTATGCCTGCTGAGCTAAATCCCCAGCCCCCATCTAACTGGTTTTGTATGTGTATACCCAAGCATCACAGAGGGCCCAGCAGACCCACACCATTCCAAGATTTTCTTTTTTTTTTGTACTAGGGGTAGAACTCACAACCATACACTTGCCAGGCCCAAGATTTTATTTTTTAAGTTTTCTTTAGATTTTTCTGGTAGAAGTAGCCCAGTTCAGTACAGTTACACATAAAAAATCAAATCTGAAAATTTTGGAAGAGGTCAAAAATAAAATACCATATGTTCATGTATGGATGATGATGATGATCCATTATGATAAAACATATGCTTTTATAACAGAAGAGTGGTGTGGGTGTATGATGATGGTAATGATGATGACTTTGACATTAGCCATATGAGCCAATGTCCCTGTGACACTGAGATGGAGCAAGAATCAGCTGATACAGACACAGGGAATACAGCCTTCCTTGATTGCAAAGAAAATAGCAATGTGAGTACATATATGACTAACTGAAATATTGCAAAATGGCTATGCAACCAAATGGAACTATCCAATGTTAGCACTAGGATAGTTCTAACTATCCTAATACTAACTAGAACTAGAACTACAACTAGAAACAAAACAAAACTGCATCCAAAAATATAGTAAAAAAGAAAAAAATATATATATAGTGAAGGTCTTGGCAGGGGTGAAATATATTGGACAGAAGGCCAGCATTGCCATTCAGTGTTAGAAATTGCAGCAGATGAAATGCCACAAAATGCTATAAAGTACACAAAGACTGAAATGTAAGTAAAATGTGCTGTATGCATTAATAGCCATCTTTAAAAATGTGTTTATGGTAACACTTCATTATGAACTGAAAGCATTCATAGTTCTGCTGGGATTTCTCATGGTGATTGCAGGAATGTAAAAGACTTACAGAAAAGTAATGGGTCAGAATATGGCATAAAAATTTATGCCCTTGTGGACGTGAAGACTTATTAAGCTTTCAGTTTAGACATTTATCCTGGAACTCAGCCATCAGGTGCTTTTTTGTATAGTAATAAACCACATGATACTGCTTTCATCTCCCAAGTTAGTTGGAATGTGACATTGGATAGTTAGTTTACCATTTTCCAATTCATGTTACATTTGCTAAAAGAGCACAAGAAACTAGCACAGGAAACATATATAGGAACAAAGCAGAAATTCCAAATGAACTGTTGTAATTTTGAAACATAATTGTATAGTACAATCTTTGAATTTCAGAAAGATATAACATTAGCTTTGTAAATAGCAGAGAAAAACAAACTGGTGCAGCTGCTGTCAACATTGTACCATCATGGAAATATTGATAGGGAAACCTTGACAAAACAGAATCCTGAAATGGAAACTTTCTACAACAAATCCAAAAGTGCGGTAGATTTTGATGAGTCAAGCAGCAATTATGATATCACTTGAAACACGAAGCATTGGCCAGTGATTGTGTTTTACTTGATCCGAAATATGTATAGCATGAATAGTTTGATAGTTTATAAAGAAAACAACAAGTGTAAAATATCAGAGAAATTTTCTTTGAGGTTTGGGACCAGAGCTCATAAGAGATCATTTACAGCAGAGAAAAAAAACAAAATGTTTCTTCCCAGAGAGCTACATAAAAAAATTGTGCGGCACACTGGTGAGCTGACAGGTGAAGAGGTAGACACAGCATCACGGAGACCTACTACAGCAACAGAAAAACAAAAAAGATGCCAACTGTGCCCTACAAGAAAGTACAGGAAAAGAAAACCTGCACGCTATCAGTGTAAGTGATATTTGTGTATGGAATATGCAGTTGTCATGTGTGAAGTCTGCCTTGGTTTGTGACTGGTGAAGCAAAGCTTATTTCTGTGGTAGACTTTTGTTTGCATGTGCACTGTCGTTCACGTAGGTTTTCATTTCTCATGTGATCTTTTGGGTTTTGTAAGCAAATACACAGCTGATGTGAAAATGTTGATATATACCCTAAATGCACAATACATATTAACAATTTAATAATTAATTCTGTTGATATTTTATGTTCCTGTTAGCTACACACTGTGTAATATAATAAGAAGCTCCTGACAAAACAGCAAGACACTAAGATGTCCAGTATGTCCTACAAAAAAAGGCCAGGAACACAAAACATGCTGTCAGGGTAAGCAATGTGGGTATATGGGACTTGCTATTGTTCTGTGTGTAGATGCCTCAGGTATGATAATTGAAGTTTTTTTTTTTTGTTTTTTTTTTTTGAGAGAGTGCTGTTGGTATTTTCACTGTAGCTCATATGGGAATTTATTTCTGATGTTCTTCTTTAAATTTTGTATACCAAGAATCAGTTGATGTTAAAAATGTCAATGTATTTTTATAAACACACAGTAAATGTTAAAAACTCAATACTTCATCTTCATGATGTTCTTCCTGTTGTCATTGTTTAATATAATAAAACTCATAATAAAATTAAAAATTCATCAATAGAAATATTCTGAAGAATATGTGTGGGTCTGGAAGGCCCATGTTTATGCACCTTGCTGACAAAATTAGTCTTTTGCGCTAAGGTTGTGTCTTGGTACCTGGTACTTTGTCTTGGTAACTAAGATGCACATCCCTTCCTGCAATTTACCACTGATCCCTGGCGCAGCTGCAACCCTTCTCGACCCTTGCTGGAGTCTGACTTTTCCTCTGTCTCTCAGGAGGAGGCTGCAGGAGTATCAAGGGGAGGCTGGCATGGGGTTTGGACAAGAAGGTAGCGTGCTGTTGCTGGTCCTCACTCAAATCTTACCTGGTGCCCAGGTGGGAACGTGCTTCATTGGCTACAGTGCCAGCCCATCACAAGCCGGGGGTAGGGAACAGGTGTAAACCAGCCCTTTTTTTTTTTTTTTTTTTTTTTTTTAATCAGTACCAGGGATTGAACTCACGACCACCTGCTTGCAAGGCAGGCACTATTGCCGCTGAGCTAAATCCCTAGCCCCCAGCCCTTCTTTTTATCTATCAATTCATTAATTTGGTTTTTGGGTTTTGCTATGTAAATAGGGCTTTGCTATGTAGTCCAGGTTGGCCTTAACTCATCATGATCTTTCTGCCTCAGCCTCCCAGCTGCTGGCCTTTTTTTTTTTTTTTTTAATAAATGTAAAAATCATTACTTTACAAGAGGTAAAAATCTAAGACAAATGCTAAATTAATGAGACATTAAGACAACAGAGAAAATGGGACCACCCAGGGTAAATGTGCTACTCAGGGTAAGAAGGAAAATGGTAAAGATGGCATATGACCTCTCAGTCTCATTTTTATATTATTTGAATTTTGAACCATGTAAGTATATTACCTACATTTCTTTTTTTTTTTTGAGGGTCTTGTTATGTGGCTCAGGATGGCCTCAAACTTGCATCAATCCTCCTGCCTCAGCCTCCTAAGTGCTGGGACTATAGGGACCATGATGCCCAGCTATATTACTTATTTTTTTATATTACATATTTTTAAATTTAGATTACAAAAAGCAAGGTATAGAACAGAGTATGGAATGCCCATCAATTTATTACAAAAGGACCTATCTACCTATAATTTATTCTTTTTAAAACTGTTCTGAGGTGCTTCAAGTTTGACGTGTAGTGAGTAAAAGCAAAAAGCCAATAAAGAAGGAAATGTTGGAATTACCAGGTACTCCTGCACACACACACACACACACACACACACACACACACACACACACATGCCTGTTTTTGTTTTTGCAATTGGATTGAACCTTGGGCCTTCACCTTGTTACTTCCTTTCTAATTCTTTATATTTTTAATTTTTTTTTTGTCTTTTTCTTTTTTATTGGTGCCAGGGATCGAACTCATGACTGCCTGCTTACAAGGCAGGCGCTTTTGATACAGGGTCTTGCTAAGTAGTTAAGTTGTCCACACAGAGTTGGCATTTGGGATTCTCCTACCTCGGGCGTCCAGTGTGCTGGGATTATAGCTGTGGACCACCATGTCAGTTTCTCTTCACGTGTGTTGATGAACAAAATAATACACTTGGGCAAGCTTGCAGAAAACAAAAAAAGGAAATACCTAGTCATTCCAAATTAAAAATTGCCAGCTTTTTGTAAACACAAAGGCAGGACAGCAGTATACTGACAGTAGTTCAACCCAGATGTTTGGCCAAAAATGTGTGCCATGTTTCTCTGAAAATAAAGCCTACATGGAAAATAATCAGCCTCCAAAAGTAGAGATTAAAAATGCCAGTCCCCTCGGGTGCACTGCTGCACACTTGGGATCCCAGCACTCAGGAGGCAGAGGTGGGAGGCTTATTGTCTGTTCAAGGCCAGCTTGGGCTACATGTTGAGACCCTTGCTCAAAAAACAAAGCAAAACAAAAAGAATACAACCAACCTGAAATTGGGATTCCAGGTGGGTCCTCCTGGAGGAACTCCAAAGGAGAGTCCAAATCAAGTTTACTGAGCCAGATTTTTATGCATAGGGCTATGAGGGGTTATAGGGACTGGTTTAGGTGGCCTGAGTAGAGGGGAAGCATAAGGCGGGGCACATCAACACTGGGGGTGTGCTGTGACCTGAGGGCGCCACTGCTCCCCCAGAGGGAGATGCAGGCAGCTGACTCAGCCACTGTGGGGCAGACAGGGGCAGTGCTCCATTTCTCTCATTATGAGACAGAATGTGTTTTCATACAATTAGGGAGCATTAATCTCTTTCATGGGAATTTTCTGAACCTGTCTCTTTCCCATTTATGATTTACTTTTAGGTATCTGGGTTCTCTGGGATCTGATAAAGGGTCCTGGAGTGCCCATGGCACAGTGCTGGGGGTGGAACCCAGGGTCTCACACGTGCTAGGCGAATGCTGTGCCACTGAGCCACAGCCCAGGGCCACACCCTCTCTTCCTTCTCTCTCTCTCTCTCTCTCTCTCTCTCTCTCTCTCTCTCTCTCTCTCATATTGGGGATTAAATCCACATGAATGCTTGGCAAGCATCCTGCCACTCAGTAGCCCCCAGATCTTTTTTTTTTTTTTTTAAATTTATGAGACAGGCCCTTGCTCTATTTCCCAGGCTGGCCTGGAACTTGTGATCTTCTTGCCTCAGCCTCCAGAGTGGCTAGGATTACAGGCCTGGCAAGACCACATTGGTGTCCTTAGCAGTCTCTGGGCTTCAGCCTAGGGGAGTCACATGATTCTGCACAGGATGCAGCTCAGCTCAGGCTGGAGAGCAGCTGCAAGGCCACTGCCTCCCTCCTCATTTATTAGAATTTGAGAAATTCACCAAAGGCAGGGTAGGGGGGCTTCCTCTGCACTGAGGGTTTGTTCTGAGGGTTAAATGTGCTCCTATAGCAAAGCTGTTACCTCACCTGGCCACAAAGCCTGGGCGGGCCAGGCCTGGGTCCATGGGAGCTTGGTAGGGGGGTTGGTGCTCACCCCAGGTTGCCCTGTCCACTGCTGGATTGATCGAATGGAAGAGCAACCACTGTCACCAGCTGTCTCCAGAACACGGCAGGGCAAGGTGGACCAATGGCCCTGGTTGGGGAAGAAAGCAGCTTACAGGGAAGCTGGAAGAGCTAGGTGGCTGCCAGGTGGCCTTTGAAAGCAGAGCAGTAGGTACAGAGATGAAGCAGTGTGCATGCCTGCCAGCAGGTGTTGGCATGCACTCTGAGTAGTACTAAGCCATGAAGAAGGATGCATTACCATCTGTAAGAAAATGAATGACTCTTGAGAACTTAATACTAAGTGAAATAAATCAGACAGAGAAGGTTAAGTAGTGCATTGTTTCTCTGAGACCCAAAATATAAATCATTTAAAGAGCAAAACAGATAATAAAAAACAAAGGTAAACTGTGGAAAAGGGCGAGGCCTGGGGAAGGGGAGACCAGGGAATAAATAAAAACCATCAAGATGTGACCCATGTGTGTTTCATCCCCCAAGAGGACTTCAATCACTGCATCACCAACACAGACAAACAAGTAAAACAGGGAAGCCCACCGGGTGTGGTGGTGTACGCCTGTAATCCCAGCATTTGGGGGAGGCTGAGGCAGGAAGATCATTGCAAATTCGAGACCAGCCTGGGCTACAAAGTGTGTTGGAGATCAACCTAAACTACATAGCCAGACTCTCTTTCAAAAGACAAAAAACAGGGCCAGGACGGTAGCTTAGCTGCACAGCACTTGTCTGGCAAGCATGGAGTTCTGAGTTCCATTCCCAGTACAAGATAAAAAACAAAAAGACAAAAACAAGGGGTGGGGATATATTTCAGTGACACAAGCACCTGCCTGGCAACTTCGAGGCCAGGAGTTTGAGTCCAGATACCAAAAGGAAAAAAACAAAGAGGAGTACTTTCAGGAAGACGGCGGAGCCGTGGGCAGCGGAGAAAACAGCCTCTCTGAGACACCTCTAGGCGCAGGAATATGGCCTTGTGCGAAGACAGGAAAAGTGGGTTCTCCGAGCCCAGGAAGAGTCTGAAGCGTGAACTGAGGCCCGCAGCGAGTAAAAAGAAAAACTTCGAGAAGGGAGTGTAGCTGGCGTCGCTTTCACCTGGAGCCAGCTCTGCATGAGGGGAGCTGCTGGAACCTGGGGACCGCTGGTCACGGTGACAGTGGCGGCAGGAGACCCGCAGGCCTCTGCGAAAGGACTGGGCGGCAGACGTGGAGGACCGTGCGGGCTGGCGGTGAGTGCTGAGGCCTGCGTCCTCCCGCGGGAGGAAGGCTCGGGCTGGGAGCCATTTGGGAGCTGGGCCGGACAAGCCTGGAACCAGAACTGGGGCCCTCCAGTGGCCCCCAGCTGGGCGCAGGCCCTGGAGACTGCGTGGACTTCGGAGGCCCAGAAAGTCAGGCTCCGGGCAGGCCTGCTGGGCTGTCTGCTGCTCCTGGCTTGCGGGGATACTGTGACACGGGACTGGGGACGCTGTCTTCACAGCTACCAGGGAATCCAGAGACAATCCTGGAAGTGGACTCTCTCTTTTTGAGTGTGAGTGTTCTACCTTGTATCTCTCCCAGCTCTCTTTTTCCTCGGTTTTCTATATCAGTTTCCCCAAGTTGGTGGGATCCATCTTTGTCCTTCAGCCTACTTGTAGTCTCTTTATCTTTACCCACTTTCTGTTTTCTCTTTAATCCATTTTGAATCTTAACCCTTGAGGACAGAATTGGCATATTATGGTCTTATATATTGTATATAACTGTTTTGCATTCCGTTGAGAAGATAAGAGAAGACACTTGAGATACAACCTCAGATGCCCAGTTTACCAAGGCAAACCCAGGGGGCAGTGAGGCTGGAAAATCTGAAAGCCCCCTATCAGGGCTCCCGGAAGTGGTATCAACACAGTTAAATGAGGCTCTGGAAAAAATGAAATCAGAAATAATCTCTCAAATAACTGCAGAGATTACCAAAATACACATCATGCTTAGTGATGTTAGAGCAGACAAAAAAATAGACGAGCTTAAGCAAATTATGGAAGTGTGGCACAGGAGACATAAAGCAGATTCAAGCAAATATCCAGTAGAATAAAAACTTTTGAAAGTATTCAAAGCAGATTAGGTCAATTGAGAACAGGATTTCAGATACCTAAGATAGGATTGCAGTTAGTGACCAGGAAAAGAAAGTTTTCTCA